CTTGTGTTTGTTCTAACCTGTCTGGGGGCTACCTGAAGGACTGACACAAGGCATTCATCTATGTCTTGCCTAACCCAGAGCCTACTCAGGGCAGAAAAGTGACATGCATTGCTGGTAAGCATTGTTAAGACAAACCAAAAACCCACAGCAGCCTTGGGCAAAAGGTTTATGTTTAGACATACAATAGACCACCAAAAGCGGGGAGGAAAAGCCAGTAAGAGAATTTGTTTGGAAAGTTAGGGCATAGAGCCATGCATACGCCCAGAATAAGATGCATGCTCAGGAAAGACCTGAAAAGACCCTAAGCTCTCACCACTGGCTGATCTGTAGGCATAGTGCAAGCCCGGCTAAATGCTGAAGAAGGGCCCCAGCACAGAGCCAATCTGCAAAGACTAGAAGAGGTGCTTTTTGCTTGTTTTTAGCTCCTGGATTTAAGGGAATCTCTGTCAAAACACTAGATGAACACAAGCTAAAGAAACAGACTTCGGTGACCACACACGAGTAATCAAGTTATTGCAAAAATATTTTTGAAAAGTAAGGAATTAAATGGACAACTGTAGCATTCAATCAAGAACAGCAAATCCTAGGGAAGAGGTAAAACCTGATTTCCGGAGGCACCACATTATAATATTTAAATATCCAGTTGTTAACAACAAAAATAAAAACACAAAGAATACAAACAGGAAAGTATGGTCCATTAAAAATTCAAAGGAAAAAAATTGAGTGAAACTGTCCCTGAGGAAGCCTAGACATTGGAATTATTAGACAAAGACTTTAAGCCAACTGTCTTACATGTGTTCAAAGAGCTGAAAGAAACCAGGACAAAAAACTAAAGAAAACCAGAAAAACAACATTTGAACAAAATGAAAATGTCAATAAAGAATGGAAACTACAAAAGTCCACCACATGGACTCTTAGCAACTCTGGAGCTTAAAAGTATAATAAGTAAAATGAAAAATTCACTAGAGGAGTTTAACAAATCTGAGCATATGTAAGAAAGAATCAGCAAACTTGAAAATAGAACAATTTAAATTATCCAGCATGAGGAACAGAAAGAAAAAATAAAGAAAAGTAAATACAGTCTAAAGAACCTGATAATATATGCATTATGGGAATCTCGGGAGAAATGAGACAAAGGCAGAAATATCTGAACAAATAACGGCCGAAAAAGTCCCAAATTTGATGAAAGATGTGAATCTACACATGCAAACAGCTCAATGAACTCCAAGTAGGATAAACTCAAAAGTTACACACTGAGACACATTAGAGTCAAACAGTCAAAAGTCAAAGACAATGAAAGCAGCAAGAGAGAAGCAACTCATTACATACAAGAGATCCTCAATAAGATTAATAGCTGATTTCTCATCAAAAACCATGGAAGCCAGAAGGCAGTGGGAAGACATATTTAAAGTTCTGAAAGAAAAACAAACAAACAAACAAACACCTGTCAACCAAGAATTCTATATCTGGCAATAGTAGTCATCAAGAATGAAGAAGAAATTAAGACATTCCCAGATAAAAGCTAAAGGAGCTCATTACTAGTAGATCTGCCCTATAAGAAATACTAAAGGGAATCCTTCAGATTGAAATTAAAGGACATTAGACAGTAACTTGAAGCCATATGAAGTGGACTTGAAGGAAGTCTGTCTTTGTTTTTCTATTCTGTGGCTAAATCTATGTTCCTCTTACTCTCTTTCTTTTTGCCTTAATTTCACCCTCTTTGAGAGAGGTAATTATGGCAGAATAAGAAAGAACCCAGTAATAGGAGTTAGAAGACCAATATATAAATGGTGTCCCAATCATTTTCAAGCTGTGAATGTGAAGCCAAATTATTTAATGTTTAGAAGCCTCTGCATTTTACATAAAATGAAGAGAATATTCTGACTCTCACAAATCATTAAGAGCAATTTAAAAAGTATTAGTAGTTTGTTCATAAACATTAACTGAATTTTAAAAATGAACACTCTAGTCCCTTATCCTTTCTTTAAAGTAGCTACAATATGGAGCTTTAGTATTTATATTATATTGTAATATAAATAAATATTAAGTATGCATACCCCCAGAATAGGCATTACATGAAGGTAATAGTTAATAACGATAATGATGATGATCATATTCACAATAACAGCAGTAGCAACCAATGCATATACTGCTTACCATGTGCCATGTTATTCTAGTAAGGTAAGTACACCAGTATTCCCATTTCTAAATGAGTATTATATTGTATTTATATTATATTGTAATATAAATAAATATTAAGTATGCATACCCCCAGAATAGGCATTACATGAAGGTAATAGTTAATAACGATAATGATGATGATCATATTCACAATAACAGCAGTAGCAACCAATGCATATACTGCTTACCATGTGCCATGTTATTCTAGTAAGGTAAGTACACCAGTATTCCCATTTCTAAATGAGGAAGCTGAAGCACAGTGAAGTTAAGTGACTTGCCCAATATTATACAAATTGTAAGCAGCAGAGCTAAGTTTTAACTTAGGCAGTCTGATTCCAAAGTCTGCACTCTTCACCACCACATTATGCAGCCTCTACTTCCCCTGTTTAGTATATAAAATAGGATTGTTATGATTGGCCTGGGTGAGTGAAGTCTGATATTGGTCTCTGGAGAACAACAAAGAATGAGACAAATCATTGGGGGGGTAGGGAGAGGTGAGAGGAGTTAGCCCTCCCCCAAGGCAAAAAGCCATGAACAAATTTATCCTGCCTTTTGCCACCATTTGTCAGGCATTTACAGTGCTGTGTTGGAAAGGAAACAAATGAGAAGAGACATGAGAAGTTATTTAAATTTTTATGAGTTTTGCTATCAGGTCTGGACTAGAAGATTATTTTGCTTCCATGGTGCAGGGTCAACAAAATCACTCAATGTTTTCCCAGCCAAATGGCCTCTGTCTTAATTTCCCTTATCCAGTTATAGAGAGATGGGTGCCGCTGGCTCCAATATGTTTTAAGTTTGTAATAAGTTTATTCATTCAACAAGTGATCATTTATTGCCAAACACTGTGCTAAGTGCTGCTTAAATAAAGATAAATAAAATACGATTCTACTCCTTGAGGAGCTCACAATCCACTGGAAATGAAAGATGTAGACAGAAATATTTTAAACTTGGTTGGTACAGTGGGAGCCTAGAAGAGGTAGTGGTTAGCTCTGTCTAAAGACAGAAAATCTAGAATAGACACTGACCATGCAAAATTGCCTACAAAAATTGTAATTCTATATGGTTCAACCTAAGAGATGACATTTGAGCTAGTTCTTGTTGCATGAAGAGGAAGGGAAAAAGAAGGGTATTAGAGGAAAGTGCAGAGGATACCATAGTCCTTAACTTACATGGAACACTATAAGCTTCTCATACTTCCTTTATATAAATAAAACACACACCTCTTTAATTTTTCTTGGAATTAGACCATTATATCCCTATATGAAACTAATTAAATTTAAAAGTATCTTTTCTTGAATCTTTTAGCAGTAATTTTTTCCAAACTAAAAAATCACAAAAGTAAAATCTCAATCTCCAAACCATAAAATGCATTGCATAGACAACAAAATGGTAGAAATTCTGGCATACACAATTACACACATCTCAGATTTTCTGAGTTAGCTAGCAGCCCATGAAAATGTGAAGGTTTCCAAAGTATGGTTATTTAAAAGTTATAATTTTGCCTGGCATTTTCCATGGGATTGGTCATGGGGTGGCAAATAAAGGTTGCAAAATCTGAACTTCTTATATGTTTAGTGGTGTTTATCATTTAGTATCCTTGATAAACACTGGCAATTTTTGTTTAAAACTAAAAAAAGATGTTTCATTTGTTTCATTCATCATTATGTGGCTGCTAAAGCATTCAGCTAGACATCGAAAGACCATGTTGGGAAAACAAGTTTGTCAAAAAACTTGCATGTAATCAGGCTGTAGATTTACTGCCAACTTTTTTTTTAACCCATGAATTTTGGCTATAAGAGAGAAAGATTAGTTTGGATGAATCAATTCCATGCCAGACTCAAATTCCCAAACTCCTTTTACAGCCAAAGTTCTAGTACGCTCTTAAACTAATTGCATGTAGGAGCAATCAGGCAAATGCACAGAAAACAAATCAGCTGGGTCATTTTGTCTATGTGTGTTTAGCCACATTTCCTTCTCTACTTTCAAGCCTCCACATTCTCCAAAAACAAATACTATCTTGAAATGAACATAAAGAATCCTACTGTTTTCCTTTCATGTCAAAGATGCTAATAGTATACTTTCAGCTTCTTCAGTGAAGCTCAGAGTATTTTCTAAGATCCATTATCTCACCCCCCATCCCCATTATTAAAAAGTACAGTCCATTTTGGAAAAACAAAAGTAAAAAACAGCTGCATGACACAACCAAATAGTGGTACAGCCAGTGAATGATTTGATGCCAAGTGACACAAAAAGTTATCGTTAACCTATGGAAGGAGATAGCTTTTCCTTTAAGAAGATGAAAAAAGAATTTTAATTTATAGAAATAGTCCATTAGGGGCTGGCCCAGTGGCGCACTGCTACAGTGCGCCGCTTGGGAAGTGCTGCGGCGCTCCCGCCGAGGGTTCGGATCCCACATACAGACCTGGCTGACCCCTGTTCTAGCCTTCTAAACTAGCATTACCCCTAAATCATCTTACATGAGAAAATGTAAGCTATCCTTTAAATTGAGAAAACTTTTTTTTTTTTTTTTAACTTTGGGGTAGGAGAGAGTGGGGAGGTTGAAGGGGTGACAGAGGAGGAAGTAAAAATACGGATACACACAATAAGTTCAACTTTCAAGAGGAGAGAATAGAACTGTGGTTACCATAGGTAGGAAAGAAGTGGGGGTGGGGGGAGCAAGGCAGGAATTGATAAAGGGCCATGAAAAATGATTACATTGTATATGCTGAATATACTAATTATCCTGATTTGAGCATCACATATTGCACACAGGTATTGATATTCAACTCTGTACCCCTAGATATGTACAGTCAACTATGTTTCAATAAATTAAATTAAAATTAAAATTAAAATTAAAATACAGATCAGTCAAGTAGGGAAAGGATTAACTCTATTAGGTTACCTTCTGTGGATCTGAATTCTTCTCCTGCTGAAGTAGTTTTTCCACCCACATTATCATCACTGTCACATTCTGTAAGGAAGAATCAGTAAATGCAAATGTATTTCTGAAAAAGTTATTGTGCCATAATTTATGTATTCTCAAACAATATTATTTTCAATGACTTCTCTCATACCCAAGTTTACTGATTACAATTCATTACTGTTACACCACTTTCCCAATAGATGGGTTTTTTTTTTTTTTTGTCTTTTTTGTGACCGGCCGCACCACCGGGCTCAGCCAGTGAGCGCACCGGCCATCCCTATATAGGATCTGAACCCGCGGCGGGAGCGCTAGCTGCGCTCCCAGCGCCGCACTCTCCCAAGTGCGCCACAGGGTTGGCCCATCTCATACCCAAGTTTACTGATTACAATTCATTACTGTTACAGCACTTTCCCAATAGGTGGGGTTTTTTTTAATGCTTATCAAATAATATTTAAAATGGTGACAGATTAAATTCTCCTATATTTTGAAAATCATATGTATTCATTTCTATACAGATAACACTACAGGGTTTTTTTTGTTTTGTTTTGTTTTGTTTTTCCTTTTTTTTTGTCTTTTTTCGTGTCTGGCAACGGATCGCAACCCTCAGTGTCGTGCTAGGTTTTTTTGTTTTGTTTTGTTTTGTTTTTCCTTTTGTTTTGTCTTTTTTCGTGTCTGGCAACGGATCGCAACCCTCAGTGTCGCGCCCGTACCGGGCCGGGACCGGCAACGGGATCGCAACCCTCGGTGTTGCTCCCGCACCTCGCTCAGCCAGTGAGCAGGAACCGGTCTGTATGTGGGATCCGAACCCTCGGCGGGAGCGAGCGCCGCCGCACCTCCCAAGCGGCACACTGTAGCAGTGCGCCACCGGGCCGGCCCCAACACTATAGGTTTTAATTAGCAATGCCTCTGCATGGCACAAATTCACTTACCTGATGTCTTACATGCTTTTGTAATAAGAGACTGGAGGCTTTACAAAATGACAAGACCAGGTATTGCAAAAGTTACTTAAAATTCAAACCACGGTACTGACAGTGACCTAATCTTTGGTTTATCATTTTAACTACATTTAAATCGATATACAATTATATATATAAAACGATATTATCTATATATGATATATATATATCATAGTAACTAAATCAGTTTATATAACTGAATAGAAATCATATGGACATATTTGCTTTGGTGCAAACATGTAAATAACTTAAAATATACATTAAAAATTAAAGATTTAAAATTGTCTATAAGTGAAAAACCACTGTATTTCACTATATTCCTTTGCTGCTGAAATTTGTTATTACAAGTCATCTTTTGCCATTCATTCCCGCAAAATACTTCAAATATTTCAAACAATGTTTTAGAGAAGTAAAACATTACATTTACAGTTTGAAGAACAAAATTAAGCCTCTAAATATTAAGAACAAAGAGAAAATACCCAGAGGTTTCTGTTATTTCAACTTAAAGTCAAGATCAGTCAAAAGCAGCATGTCATAACTGATCCAAACAATTCATCATTGCATGCTGGGCCTAAGGCAAAACTGTAGGTTTGAATCAGAAGGATTAGCCTGACACTAATGTGCAAGAACTATAAAAGGTTTCTTTTGTCTCGATCAACCCCACCTATAGAACAGAGAAAATCATAAATATTCTTTCCTATTTTCAATATCTTTACATAGAATTAATTGTATCATATGTAATATTTTTAGGATAGTGCTCAAAGTAACAACCTATAATCTCATTAACAGGCTGAGGAAACAACGGGCAGATTGACATTTAGAATTAATTTCAATAGTTATTTCCTGTAATGTTTATTTCTTAGGCCATGATGCTGCTTCAATCATCTGCACTTTCACAGCACGTGTAAATCTTCATGTTCAATTTTTAAGATGGTTTTAAAAATCTGTCTATAGACATCAACCATACTTAATACTTCCAACTCGCTCATCCAAAAAGAAGCCACAATTAAATGGATACAACAAAGTCTTAGGCCAATAAACAAGACCATCTAAGGAGAGTGGTCAGATTCAAAAAAAATTATCCTGTAGTAAAGTTTTTTCATTATATTTCATTCTCAAAAGAACAGATACTGGTCCAATAAGATGTTAACTTCTATGTACTCTGAAATATTTACACTGATTAGAGGAAAGGTGGAGGAAGCAAGGGGAGGGGGTTTCTAGTGAATTTCTTAGAAATTCCAGGTTGCAGTACTCAAATAGCTCATTACCATGCTTGTAGTTCTTGTGCCAACATCTTGAGCAGCCTCTAAAGATGGCATTTAGTGGTTTAATTATGAGACAAAAAGATCCTAGGGAAATTACAATGTTAATCGTTTTCCTTGGCTATGTCAAGCATATAATGTTTATTTTAAAAGCACCAAATTCACAACCAAATCATTTTACCTTATGACACACACACAAAAAGGTGCATCTTCCTGAATGTTATTTAAAAACTAAACAACTCATATCTGATATCTTCATATAAACTCTGCAATGTCATTAGACTACAGAAGAACGTCTCTCATTATCTTCATACTTCAAGGACATGGTTAGAGCCAATAATTCACACTATGTGGCTACCTCTACATCATAAAATCAGGTATTTGGTTCAGTGAAAGCCTCACCCTTAGCAGGTGATACTAATGAAAAGAAAAGCACTTGCTCTGTGGCCACAGGTAGGTTATCTAATCTTTCTGGACCTCTGCTTCCTCACCTATAAAATAGGGTAATCTAACATCCTACATTATAGTGTACAAAAAGGATTTAAAAACATGTAGAAGTTCTTTAAACATGTTTAAACATCTTTAAACACTACAAATATAAAAAGCAGCTAGCATGGTGGCTGGCGCATAGTAGGCCCTCAATAAAGGTTAGTTAACCTTACTCCTCTTTAAAACTAAACATTTAAGTGACATTATATCTTCATCTCTGAAACATGAGGCTTGAGTGAGAATGAAGACATATTTGTGAATAAAATGTAAAAGGTCTAAAAGAGAAAGTCTACTTGGCTCCTCTGATTAGGATTACTAGAAAGAAAAAAATTTGTGTTAAACAACTATGTAACTTGGTAAGTTTTAAGAAAGCAAAGATGAATGCAATATAAAACAGAAGTGATGAAGGGTAAGGGGGCCAAGGGAGCCAATTAAGGACAGGTTAATAGATATTTTTAAATGTTTCTAAAAGGATTTATCAATATATCATAGCTGTAATCAAAATGTTGGTGCTGGAAACTTGATGCTTAGAAGGAGAGAATTAACAGGGCAAAAACTGACACATTCAAACCTCAAACTTAATCTAAAGACTTACTTTGCTATAGGAGTATCTGATTCACCCTAACTAACCAAGTCAGAGACCTAAAAAATTACTAATAGTAAAGCTACTTACCTTTCCCCTTGCCACCAAGCAAAAAGTAATGCCTTAGGGCTAAATGACTGACATCAATATAAGAAAACAGCAACTCTGGATATCTCTATTTTTACTGAGATAAGAACTTCCTGAAAAACTTCCAATTAACTGAAAAATTGCCAAAGACTAAATTCTCCAAGTATAAGACACCATATGATCACTGATTCTCACGACACTATTCAAGAGATTCTTCCTGTTTATACACGAATCTCCAGTCTCATAAAAACCACTTTCTAGTCCTGGTAATGGTCAATTTCTAAAAAGTTAGAAAGAAAAAGAGACTCAAACTTATATCACCTCTCTATGCTTTGGTGGAAATTTTTAAAATTTGAAAATCACCAGACTTCCTATATAGCAATGATAAATATGATAGAACTTTTCACTGTATGTTACTTACAGTATAAACTTCTGTTATATCCTAAAGATGAGTTTTGTTTGTTGGCTGGTAACTAGGAGCACTGAGACCAAAAATCCCCTGAAATTGTATGTAATACTGTATATACATTTTATTTGGGGGAAAGAGGGTATAAAAAGCTTTCATAAAATTCTCAAAAAGGTCCATTGATCCCCCACTCCCAAAATCACACTGCCTTAAGAAAATGTCAAATCTGAAGACAGGAACACCATGCTAAGCTATATGCAAGGAGTTATCCTGGCTTGTGGTGACCAAAATTACCTAAAGGCTAGCAAGAATTACATTATTAATAGACACTGAGAGATTTTCTAAGTGCCAACACATATTAAATACTATTCCTTAACAGAAACTATCACTCTATTATTCACAAAGCCATTTGTTAGGAAAGGTGACAGAATAAAGAGTTATCCAAGGAAGTGATTTTTCTTTGATTTCTTATCATAAAGTTCACTACCAGGCAATTTGATGCCTGTAAGTCTTCCATGAAGAAAAAATTTTGTCTCAAATCAGATAACTAAATCTGAATATACTATGATCAGTATAACTTTTTTTGAATTTCAGAGTTACATAAGCATTATATAATTCATTAGATCCTTAAATCTAGATAGAGATAAAATCTCTTGATTTAAAGACTCAATACTTCTTTGGCCACTTAATTTTTTTTCATTACTTTCAAATGTAGTGGCTAGGAGTCATATTTTCTTTTTATGGTAGCAATAATAAAAACAGCTACTATTTATTGACCATCTATAGTGCTTTATATGCTGTGCTAGACACTTTACACACATCATTGATTCTTAGAACATATCTTAAAGATATGAAAAATGAGACTCAGAAAAAGTTAAGTAACCTGCCTGAAATCACACAGCTAGGAAGCAGCAAAGTTAGCATTAGAATCAAAGCCCATGCCCTTCTTTATCTGCACTGCATGATCTCTGCATTTCACAAAAATTCAGAATAAAGTATACATGTGCCTTCAAAGAGAAGCAAGTTCAAGGGAGTACTGAATATAAATGAGTGATTTAAAAAATACCTAAAGCATAAGAGGCATTCAGAAGGGGATGATTAGCAGATATCAATAACCTATATCTTACCTCCAACCCTAATATACCCATGCAGACCTACTCATAAGCAGCTCTCACTCCACAAAGAACTGAAATAAAGGTAAACCTAAAACAGGTTTCACATTCTAAATTATAACAGAAATGTTCCCAAAAGCACCAGCATAAAAGAAGGAAAAGGAGGTTGACATTGTGTGGCAAAGGTAAGTATTTTACAGGATTTTAAGTAGATACTGTTGAGGATTAGGGAAGGGATGGTAAAAGAGTAGATGAAAAAGTTTTGTTTTTGTTTTTTAAAAAGGAAGCCAAAGATAGAAAAAGCAAGTGGATGAAAACAAAAATTACAGAATAGGAAGATAATATTCAGTACAAGGCACAACATAAATATACAAAAGAATTAATTTTCCTTTACAATCTTGTATCATTGCTCTGCTTTAAAGAGCACAGTGGGTCTAGTAGGATACTGATTCCTAACTTTGCAGAATTGAATAGATTCACTCTAATTAGTGATTAGAGCAGAATTCTTCAGAATAGGTTTTCAATCAAAATGTGGTTCCAAATATGGTGAAAGAAAAAAATAGGAGGTAAGCAGAGTTGGAAAATTTAAAGGTACACAATTAAAAATGTTAAAAAGTAGCCACTATGTTTCATTGAGATCATTCATCAACATCTCCAAATCTTATTCATGGATTTGAATTATTAGAATATATAAAAATTAACTATTCTTTTATTCTCTTCTTCTACCTATATTTATTTCAGAAATTATAAAAAACAAAAAACAAAGTTCTGAATCCCTAGAATTACATCCTTTCTTAAATACTGGGAAGTGAAATTAAATATCAGCAATCCTTTCACGGAACAATCTCACAAAGGTAGAGAAAAAAGCACATGTCCCAGCAATAAGACAGGAGGTAACTCATACCTACCTTCCAAAGACCTAAAGGCCTATCGGGGTTTCACTTTGTCACTGTCTACTTTTTATTCCCCTTAGTATTGCCATATTATTATTTATTGCTTTCTGGTTTTCACCTATAAGCTTTCTGAAAAACAGAACATACATTTGGAATTTCAGAAAGAGTGAAAATCTGAATTCTGAGCTTTTAAAATTGTAGTAAGTAACATATTTCAACCCTGGAGTATTTATTTTATACTCACAAATACAGATTTTATCGAATAGATCAAAAAAAGTCTCCAGAAAATTATTCTGAATTCATCCTCCTTCTAAAATACTAAAGAATGAAAGTGAGATAAGGAAAAGATAAAATAGAAGCATAAGAGCATGATGGTTTAGTGAGCAGGCAATAGTTCACTAGTGGACAGTAGTTTATTGGTTTCTCTCAGCAGTGAAGTCTCTTCCTCTTGGGCGGTTTGCATTGAGTTTGCAGCTGCGTACCTTTGGTGGTATCAGATATGCTATTTAACAAGGCACACATCATATCTCCCTCTAAGTGGTGAGGGTTTAGTATATGAGCTGGCCTCTGAGTCTTCTTAAATTGATTCTCCAGCTCCAGAAAACCTTGATCTCCTGAGAGGATGGTGAAAGGAATCTGCTTGGGTAGCTGTTCATCTAGACGGCCAGCCTAAGTTGGAACAAATGTCATAGGTTGATAAAAATCAGCATGAGTTTCAAAACAAGTTATATCTGTTTCACAATGAACACATATAAAGGATGGTATATTAAGTTTGTTCCCTACTTCCCACCAAAGTTGATATAAAGATGTCCTTCATAAATGAAATATATCACATTTAATCAAATATAAAATGCCATCAATTATAAGATATTTTATGTGCCATTAAGGAAAAAACAAAAGCCAAAAAAGAGGTGCAATAGGAGGCCCCCACATAAAGCTGGAACACCAAAGAGCTACATGCTCAATGTAAAGGTAAATAAGAAATAAATCTGACAAAGAGAAAAGGTAAGCAAGATCATTTGCATAATTCAATCTTGGCACTGGATAGAAGGAAAAAGAAATCTCTGTGGTTTAAACCATAACCAGCAGTCAACAAGTTTGCAGAGTACATTCACATTATCAGTGTGACACATAAGCCCTCAAGCAGAGAATTTAATTTAAAGTAGGTCTCAGGTTGGTAGTTTCTCTAGGTGACTGGCAGAGGCAGAAGCAAATGCAAATTCTATCTAGGCCAACCGTGATTGTTAAAGTCTCTCAATTTCAGAGATGCTAAAATGTGAAAGTGTTTTAGCACACAAGTACAATATCATCTCTTGATCATTTATTCCATAAGTAATTGAAGGTCTACTATGTGTGGCTGAGGGTCTGCTAGGAGTTGGGAATAAAGTAGTAAATATGCTATGGGCCCCTACCCTCACAGTAGTCCTAAGTAGAACCTGATGCAGAAGATTTTATACAAAAATATAATATTGAAGAATCATCTATACACTGTCATTACAATTCAAGTAGAAAAAAAACCAAAGTGGGTCTTACATTCACATTAGCTTTGGAATGAAACAATGACTCACATGCATACATATGGCAAAATCAGCAGCATCTTTTCTTTTACTACATCGAGGATGAAGGAAGAAGCACCCAATCCTGTTCAGGTAATTATAGATCTTACAGTTCACTGGAGGCTTCCAATTGGTGTTTCCTCCTATTAATTTTAGAAAAGACATAAATGATAGTCAAACAGAAGAGGAAAAAACTGAAAACTGTATCAAGGAAAAACATATACTAGAAAAAAGTTTTTCTGGAGGGAAAATACTAGATTAGAATGTGGGAGAAGTCAAGCCTAGCACAGGGATCACCATGTGCTTTAACAACTTGGGAAAGCAGACCAACTTCCCTGAATATACCTACTCATCTGAAAACTCAAAGGGATATTAAACAGAATAAAAAGTAGTGTGTGAGAAAATTATTTGAATGGCATCATTCTGTATGAATGTAAGCATCAGTGGTTTTACACATATTTCAAGGCTGTTCATGATGGGTAATTAGCAAAACTAGGCTTACTAAAACACTGTACTAGCTAATTTATCCAAGTCAGTATGTTTATTTTTAATCCCAATCCTCCTCTTTACATGCTCTTGCCTATCAAACATGAACTACAGTAGATTGCTCACTATATTAAACCTCTGTAAACCAAAGAAGCCTCTCCCCCAGGTTTGGTCAATGGTTTGTAAAGAGATTTAGGTGAAGTTGCACGCTTACGAATAACAAGCATGAATTGAAGAAGCAGTTACAGCGTGTTAAAAATAATACCAGTCCTGTAGCTAACGACCAAAGTTCAAAAGTTAACTCTGCTATTTATTAGTTTTATAACATGGGGAGGGGGGAACACTTCTCAGCCTGCTTCCTTATATTCTAAAAGGTAGAAAACCATAATAATCAGTAGCCATGATGTTAGTATCAAGCAATAATGCCTGGCTCATTGTATGTGATGAATGAGGACTTTTTCAATGTGTATCAAAAGATTCATAAACTTTAGGCCACTAAGTACAGCTAACATTTACCAAGAGACATGTAAAGTGAAAAATATTCTAGCAGAGTAACTATAAGGCAAAGTAACAATACTCCCAATTATGTTCCTATGTTCTATTCAGGAAGGTTCAAGAGGAGCCTTTTAAAGTGAACCATATTCTAAGGAGCAAAAAAAAAAAAAAGGTTTTCGCAAATGTTTTCCTTATTCACCATACCTTGAAAGCCCCAAATAAATGTTCCTTGGTTAAGATGCCCCGGTAGATGACCAAAAAAGTTTGACCAATTATCAAAATCTACAAAGACTATATGAGTCATGGTTCGCAAGTAATCCAAATCTGGAAGCTCAACAACTTCTTCCTCTGAGAAGAGAGAAACATTAACATGAATTCTGCAAGAATCTGCTTAAAATAATCTATTTTCTCAAGTCTAAAAGATATTAGAGACATAATAGGGAAAAAAATTTATCTTGCATGTAATTAATCTCTATCTAAACCTTTTTGTGAAACCCAAATTTGTACAAGACACACTTCACACTTAGATAAAAAAAAAATACAGAATCCTGAAAATTTCATCAATTATATATCCTTTTCACAAACATCTGCCATTACAAAAGGAATTTTTTTAAAAAAATTAATGCACTGGAAGTATTGGAAGACTAAATTTTAAGGATAAATAACCAAAAACTTGTTCCATCTATCAAAATAAAATTTCATGGTTACCTGTTAAGAATGGTCTTGCCACCAGAATTTGGTTCTTTTCCTAGTCTAGACTGACTTATTAGTTGTCTTCTGGCTCTATGATTAAAAATCCTAGAGAGCAGAAATAATATAACCTACAACCATGCTGCCATAAAGTGGTGCCAGAAATAGATGCCAGTGGCACATTAGTACCTCGCACCATAAACACATCTTTCTTGATTTTCTCAGGTTCTTCTTTCATCTTCCCCCATTCTCCGACTCTCATTCTCCATCCCCTTTCCCTTGTTTCATACTTGTTCACCTTGACAAGGCCTTAAAGTTTCCATTCATAGCAATGCAAACTTTAAGATATTAAATCATTTCTAAAATGAATAGTTTCTACTCTGCCTAACAGAAGTTCCCTCAAATATACTACTGGCATCCCCTCCCACTTCCAAGCCACCTTATATCTCTTCTCCAAGTTCTCAGTAATTCTAGATTTAGATACTACAATCATCTTCTACCAAACACAGACAACCACAAATTCTCAAAAAGTAATCAGAAGAGCAAAAGAAAAGCATAAGAGAACATAAAATGGTGTGACCACTATTTGGAATAGAGTTGAATGGGTATTACATGATATAATGCTTTCTCACTGAAAACATGCCATGACTAAAGGTGATAGTGAGATCTACATATGCTATAGAACAGGTTTGTAAAAATTTAATAATTCATAAAAATATTTTGTTAGCCAAAATATTTGCATATTCTGTCTCCACATTACATTGTATAACTCACCCTGAGTTAATATTTTTGTAAAAAGATACAGACTTAAAATTATACTCGAAACAAAACAAATTATACTTCTAACCAAAATAAAAACATTACATTCTTCTAAGTTTAGTTAATCCTATCATATGGAAGAACAAAAGTCCAGATTAACTGCAAATGAGGAGATTCATACCTCAATTTTCCCCCGGTTTCTTGCTACTACTTTTAACTGTAGTCTGTGTTAAAGTTTTGCTTCCAAGTAAATCATAACAAAAATATACAAATGCTGACATGACCTTTAAGATTTCTCATACTTAAAGAATAAGGCCAAACAGAAACAAAAAGAATTCACCTGATTTATCTTTTTTTTTTCCTTTTTGTCTTTTTTACTGACCGGTAATGGGATCGCAACCCTCGGTGTAGCGCCCGTACCGGGGACTGGCAACCAGATCGCAACCCTCGGTGTCGCATCCGCACCACGCTCAGCCAGTGAGCGGAAACTGGTCTCCACATGGGATCCGAACCCTTGGCGGGAGCGCCGCCACACTCCCAAGCGGCGCCGGATCGCAACCCTCGGTGTCGCATCCACACCACGCTCAGCCAGTGAGCGGGAACTGGTCTCCACATGGGATCCGAACCCTTGGCGGGAGCGCCGCCACACTCCCAAGCGGCGCACTCTCCAGTGCGCCACTGGGCTGGCCCCCTGATTTATCTTTTTAATGAACTTAAATATTATACCAAAAGTCTAAATGATAATAATGTCCAGGATAACTTTAAAATCCAACTTTCAGAAAAATTAGCAACTTTCTTCATCTCTCAAAATCCCCATACCTTTTGTAAAAGAAAAGAAAATGGTATCTAAAATACATAATATTTAAAGCTAACATATACTCTTTGTCCCCTTAAGTTGAGAAAGTGGATGAAGTAGTAGGAATACAAATCCCTTTAAGTATATGCTGCAGTAATTAGCTTAATGTATCATTCTATCATGTTTCATGTTTCTTGCTTCAAAACTGAATCACTATTAGCTTCTATAAAATGGTGGACACATTGTATGTAAGTTTCTATATTAGCATGTGAAAAATCTGCAGAGTTGTAAAGCCATACCTATATTCTGACAGCTTAGGTCATTCTCGGCTCCTTTCTCCATCTCTGAATTTTTTGGATAACTTACTGCCTGTTTCAGTTTTCTCTCTGTGCGTGAGACACTGGCAGTAAACTTGTACAGACATGCTTTTTCAGATCCAAAATGAGCCACACTGGGTTTCTGTAAGAAGCAATGTTTTCTATGGAAGTGCTGCTGAGCACTCTCAGGATCATGAAATGTTTTGGTGCAGGTGCCACATTTGATTACATGCTGCTGCTGCTCACTCTTTTCTTCTCTGTGCACTTGATGGATATGAGTGTTCATGTCAGCTAAATTCTGTGCTGTTGCTGAACACAAACTGCAGCGGAACCACAGTTTACCTTTATCCAGCATGGTTTGGAGACATCTACTATAATCTTCCTTTCTGTTGACTTTACAGATGTAACTCTCACGGCAACCACACGTTAACAGGTTACTGGTCTCTATTACTGGAAAATCATCCTCAGTTTTAATTGAACTTTCAATTTTTTCCGACACAAACACATAATCAATGCTGTGGTGCTCCTCATAATGACTCAAAAATGCTTCTTCCACATTAAAGATCAGAACACAAAGCCCACAAAAGTATTTAATCTTTATATCATTGTCATGCTCATCTTGACAATGTCGGTATAATGTTTCTATTTTATGAAAAGTCTTTCTGCAATGGGCACAGCTATATCTATGAAACTTGTGACTTGCCAAGGACATGCAGTGCTGTTTTACACATTCCTGGGAATCAAACATATCTTCACAAATTCGGCACTGCCATTTGCCCCTTAGAGGACTGTTTGCTGGGGAATGATCGATAATAGTAATAGTCGAGGAAGGTTCGTTAGCAGTCAAATTATTTACCACTGCCGTAGAAGATGATGGTAAAGTTTCACTTTCTACCTCATCCACCTCATAAAAATATCTATGTCCATTATGAAATTCAGTCACATGTGCCATGATAGTATCTTTCCTTGTTAACTCCTTTTTGCATGTCCGACACCAGAAAAGAAAGTTATTTAAATGTGCCCCTCCATGAATCCGGCTCATATGTAAACGGATAACTCCTGAATCTTCACACACCTTTCCACAGACCACACACTTATAACACATTGTGTTTGCTGAGAAAACATGCTTTTCTACTGCATCTTCACTTGGGAATCGTTGATTGCATTCACAAAACCAGGTTTTAACTACTGACTTTTCTTTCTGGATGCAAACCACACCTTCATGGCTTTTGTCTTGTAAATTCTTCTTCTTTTTTGGAACGATGCTGTAATCCTGTGAGCTAGATTCTTTAATAGACATAGTTCTTTTAAGAGATGAAAATTTTGATTGATCCAACAATAAATGCAAGTCAGAAGGAGGTCTGTTCCCTTCATTGCCGTGGCAATAAAGTAAGACTGATTCTTCCATTGAGTTAATGACTCGGATTTTGTGTCCTGAATTCTGCTTGTGATTTTGGGCACTGGTTTCATCCACAAAGACTTGGTTGCAATTTGGACAATAACCTCTTAACATGAACTTCTCTGCAACCTGGGTGATGCTCTTCTCAGCTACAGCTACAGGACCAGCATTTCGACAACGAACTCTAAATTGGATAAAAAATAAATAAACTCTCTCATAAGAACCTTCTAAATATACCATATCTCTGCTTTTATTTCAGGAATTATGAAATAATCAATGTATAAATAAACACTAAAAGATACTTTTTAATAAATATGCAGATAACATAATATTCTATCATCTCAAAACACTTGAGTATTACCTACATTTTGTCTATTTCTAACCCATATACAAAAGGATAAAACTAGAATCAAAATATTTTTTAAACTTCAGGCAAACTTTGGAAAGCTAAAATCAGTATGAAATGCACTGATAGAGAACCTTATCAGACAAGCAAATTGTTACTCTCTATGGTAATCAAACTCTATGGAGAAACACCATGGTAAGATTCTAGACAGCATAGTACCTGTTCTTTAAGAACTGATTGATTTTATGTCAAAAATATGCCATGCCCATAGATTCTTTTGCACTCAAGAACTAGGCTCAATAAGAATACACACTATTCCAAAAATTAACTCAAAATAAATCAACTTCTCTAGGGAAATGAAAAATGGAACAATTATGCTTCAACTATCTTCCCTTCACTACTAAACTCCAAAGAGAACAGACCTGTTGCCATTCTATATATTTAAAATATATATATATATATATATATATTTTTTTTTTTTTAAAAGATGACCGGTAAGGGGATCTTAACCCTTGACTTGGTGTTGTCAGCACCACGCTCAGCCAGTGAGTGAACCGGCCATCCCTATATGGGATCTGAACCTGGGGCCTTGGTGTTATCAGTACCACACTCTCCCGAGTGAGCCACCAGCCGGCCCAATATATTTAATATATTTTAAAAGAGAAAAATTATACAAAATTACCACACTCTCCCAAGTGAGCCACCAGCCGGCCCAATATATTTAATATATTTTAAAAGAGAAAAATTATACAAAATATGGTCTCTAATTATACTAGAATTGAAAAGGAGAACTAATATTAAAAATCCCTAAATGTTTAGAATTAAATCCCTAAATGTAAAATCCTTAAAAGTAAAACAACATATTTCTAATTAACCTAGAGGTCAAGAAAGAAATCAAGAGAAAAGATAAAATTTTTTTTAAACATTTTTAAACAGCTTTATTGACATATTCACATACCATATGTCACCCATTTAGAATGTATAATTGCAATCATTTTTCATATACTCACAGATATGTGCAACCATCACTACAGTCAACTTTAGAACACTGCATTATGTCAAAAAGAAATCCTATACCCTTTAGCTATCACTTCCTTTTCTCCCCATGCTCCCCAACCCCAAGCGACCACTGAGCCCTAAGCAACTACTTTCTGTCTCTATAGATTTTGCTGTTCTAGAATTTCATATGAATGGAATTATATAAGTGGACTTCTGTGACTGTCTTATTTCACTTAGAATGTTTTCAAAGTTCACCAGGGTTACAGCCTGTATCAGTATTTCATTCCTTTTTATAATATTCTATTGTATGGAGATACCACATTTTGTATATCCATTTAACAGTTCATAGACATTTAGGTTTTTCCTACTTTTAGGCTATTATATATAATGGTGCTATAAACAAACATCCAAATCTTTGTGTAGACATATGTTCTCATTTTTCTTGGCTATATACCTAGAAGTCGAAATTGTTGGGTCAATATGGTAACTCCATGTTTAACCACTAGAGGAAGAAAAAGATAAAATATTTTTAAATGAATGTAAAATGAAAACACACCTTATCAAAATCTGTGGATGCAGGTAAAATAGAGCTTAGAGGGAAAACAAATCTTTTGCCAGATTCGTATTTAGAATATATAAAGCAACCCAACTCACTATTAAAAAGGCAAACAATCAAATTTTTAAAATAGGCAAAAGCCTTGAACAGACATTTCACAAAGATAAACAGATGGCCCATAAGGACATGAAAAAGTGCCCAACATCATACATAGTTCATCAAGAAAATGCATATTAAAACCACAATGAGACACTCACAAGAATAGCTAAAATGAAAATGACTGGCAGTATCAAGTGTTGGCAAGGATGACGACTAATTAAGAACTCATAACTTGCTGGTAGAAATGTAAACTGGTACAACCACTTTGGAAAGACGTTTAATAATTCTTATAAAGTTAAAGATACACCTACTTATGACTCAGCAATTCCACACCTAGATGTTCATCCAAGAGAAATGAAACATGTCTACAAAAAGACTTATACAAAATGTTCATAAGTTTTATTCACAATAGCTATAAATCATAAACAACCTAAATGTGTCCATCAACATGAGGACGAACAAATTGTGCTGTATTCATAAAATAGAATACTACTTACCAATAAAAAAAGAACAACATACTAAACAATATGGATAAATCTCAACAGATATTAAAACAAAGACAAAAGAATACATATTACATGATTCCATTTACATGAAGTTCTAGAGGAGATAAAACTAATGTAAGGTGTAAAATATACCAGAATAGAGATTGCCTGTAGGTGAGGGGGTGGGAAATGACTGGGATGGTACACAATGGAGCAATACATATTAGGATAAGAGTGTGATTTAAATAGCTGTATCTATTTGTCCAAATTGTAAAAGTTAAGATTCATATACTTAATGAACTTGAAATTTTATTACATACATTTTTTTTTAAAGTAGAGTCCTTATTTATAGATACATACTAAAGTATTTACAGATAAAATGATATACTGACTAGGATTTGCTCCAAAATGATAACTTGTAGATGGTAGATGTATAAATGAAACATGTCTGTCATATGTTGATAACTACTGAAGCTGGGTGAAAAGTACCCTGGGATTCATTCTACTAGTTTCCCTACTTTCATATATTACTTAAAATTTTCTACTGTAAAGACAAAGAAAAATATCATACTGGAATCCTTCTTTATTGCTTGATATATATGGCCCATCAATGAGATTTAATCTCTCACATGTATATGATATTTTCCATTCTTGTTGACTTAAAGCCAAGGTTCTATTTTAATTCTTTCTTCCTCTACTCATACTCAGAACATACACAAAAAACCAAAGACAGAACTTAGAACTGTTAGCTTGTTTTACATTCATAGCAATATCAATATATTCCCTTTTTCCATACCTCTATTTTCTCTCACTGTGCTAAATTTGGTAAATTTCCAGGCAAATGTATATTTTTATTTTAAAAGGAGAGAAACATGATACAGAAAAGTATTTGTTGAATCTTCCCACTGATGAAAAGGTCATCAGGATTTCCTTCCAAGAGTAGACCTGTACAAACCTGAAATGGGCAGTGAGCTCCATGTGGGAACGCAGTGTCTGGTGGCAGGCCACACACTTAACTTGAAACGGAACATCTCTGCAGAGAGAGATCAAAAGTTTCTTTGCAAAAGATGGAAATGATATTGGATGCGCTTTTCCCTTGTCATCTGAAAGGCAAAATAAACTATAATTTGCAAAGTCATTTGAGGATATAGTGACCCAACCTTCTTTCCCTTTGACTTTCTCAACATCAGTTGAAGTAAAAGAACATAGTTATTTATGTGATAAAAATCTAAGGGAAGCCATTTTCTAGCCTTAAATATAAAGGACGCTTTACACTCTCATTAAATGGGTATTAAATGCAGAGGAATCCCCAGTCTGAATAAATGTTTTCTTCCCAAGTTTCTCTTCACTCCTCAAAGTAAGTAAACCTTACTCATAGGTACAAGTAAATATTGACAATCTTTTTTAAAAAATAAGAATTGAGATTAAAAAAATCTTTCATTTTCATGGTTCTAAAGCTAACATGAGGATAAGTAGCCTCAAGAACCTGAGAAGTATAGTAAATCAGCAAAGATTAAAATTGTTCAATAATTTTCAACATAAAAGAGTATTAACATACCACCCAGTTTAAAATTCTGATGGAAATGATTCTTTCCAGACATATGCTTCACACACTCATCCTCGCTGCTAAAAAGAAGAAAGCAATTTGGACATGCAAAACACTGAATAATCTGAGGAAGAAGGTTGTTGCTATGTCCATCATCTGCAGCTTCCTAAAATATAAGGCAAAGCCATATTATAAACAACTAAAACCAATACTTAATTTCTTAAAATCAACTTTCAAAATTTGTTATTTACTTGGAATATTACATACCAATTTTTAACGTGAAAATTTTTCTTCTCTGAGTGTGAATTATGGAACTTTTATCATAAATGAGGTCACATGTGAAATTTTATTTTATTTTTCTTCAAAAACAAATCATGGCCATTTTTTTGTGATAATATATAAATATATTTCCTTTCTATATATTTTTCATTTTTACATACATTCATATATACTATATAAATGCATAAATATGAGAAATATATAAATATATTTGCTTTCTATATATTTTTCATTTTTACATACATTCATATATACTATATAAATGCATAAATATGATCACATCACATACACTTTTTATAATGTTTTGCTTTGTGTACTCTACCCTGCAATATAACCAATGTTTACAAATATGTATTCTTCCATACATTTCTCCACACTGAATCCTTTACAAAATATATAGAAATAAATATACAAAGGGGAATATCACTGTTTTATCAAATACTGTTATCTAACAGACTCTTCTATTAGTTTTCTCATTCCATAATACCTAATGAAAATCCCTAAAAATCAACTGGTATAGCTCTAATTCATGCTTCATAATTGTTGCAATCAACTCCATTGTGTGGATCTATTATGATTTAGTCAACCATTCATTTCTAGCTGTTTTTGTGGTTTTGGTTTTTTTCTCCTCACTATCAACAGTGATGTACACTTCTTTGAATATATACCCCGAATTACAGCTGCTTTTTTTCTCTTTATCAGGAGTGGCTTTATAGGGTTAAAGGGTATACTTGGATAATAAGATACTATATGACCACTTTTCAAAAAGGCTCTACCAATTCACATACCTCCTGGCACTGAATGAACTTGGCAGCAATAGATATTATGGATCTTTTTCATTTCTGCCAGTCTGACATATGTGATATTCATTGTTACTTTAATGTGTATCTTCTGTCTATAAGTGAGTTTGAGCATTTATTCATACATTTATATGGCTATCTGGATGTGTTCTTCTAGAAAATTATAAATCATAAGGGCAATGAAGACATTTACTAACCACCAATTTATATAAGTTTCTCCTACTTGAAGAACTCTAAGTAAATAAAATCATTTTTAGTTTAATTGTGAGTTAAAATTGGATTCAATATAAAGCTTGTTCAAGTGATTTATTCAATAAAACCCAAATGTGATTCTATACAAAAATTTATTGGAATATACATTATTATAAAAGCATGGCATATTTGCAAATATGTTTTCAAATTAGGGGAAGGGATGGGAAATAGGATATCTGGTAAATTAAAGTACTCATTTCCTTTTTAACATATTTCTGGTTACATTAAAATAAAATATACCATACAAATTTGTATATCAAAAAAAAAGTAGAGAGCTGGCTGGTTAACTCAGTCAGAGCTTGGTGTTGATAACACCAAGGTCAATGGTTTGGATCCCCATACAGGCCAATCATCATAAAAAAAAAAAAGTAGAGCCACAGTAAGATACCACTTCATATCCACTAGGATGGTTATATTCAAAAAGGCAGATAATAATAAGTGTCAGCAAGGATGTAGAGAAATTGAAACCCACATACACTGCTGGTGGTAAAGTAAAAATGGTGCAGTGTATTAGACGACAATTTTGCAGTTCTTCAAAAAATTAAAGGGTTACCACATGACCTAGCAATTTAACTCATTAAAACATGTCCACACAAAGACTTATTCACAAATACACATAGCAGCCCTGTTTATAATAGCTAAAAAGTAGAAATACCCAAATGTCCATCAATTGATGAACTGGTAAATAAAATGTGACATATATCCATAAATGAAATATTATTTGGCAATAATAAGGAGTGAAGTATTGATACATGCTACAACATGAATAAGCCAGTCATAAAGGCTGCATATTACTTGAATCCATTTATATGAAATGTCCAGAATGGACAAATCCACTGAGATAGGAATAAGTTTAGTGGTTGTGTAGGACTGGGAAGATGAGATAGCAAAGGAGAAACATTACCTTATTTGATACAACAGCCCTAGAAACAGAATAAAGAGTGCTTGCGCCTATTGACCCACAAATGACACAAGCTTACAGTATATGTACCACCAGCATAACAAAAAAGGGAGAAAAAGCAGGAAGCTATCTGGTGATAGATATAATACCCATTGGATAGCTTTAATGTCAAAACTCACTAGACACTGGTTCATTTAAGAAAGGCAATTACAGCCTAATGCATACTAGCTTGTTTTTAGAATTCAAGTGATAGACATGCCAAAGAATAAACAATTAGGAGCATTTACTGAGGGTTACAGGTCAGCCCCAAAGCACTTTATAGAGTATTACAGTTTCTCTTAATCTTATATGTAAGTATAACAATAAAAGTGATTGTAGAACCCAGGTCTGATACAAAGCCTTTGCTCTTTTGGTTTTAACATTCTGCTTCTCAGATAGCTGAATGTCAAAAATCTACTTCCTAGAGAGAAGGCAAAAGGCAGGGCAAAACAGCACGGAATGTATGATTCCCAGAAAAAAAGAAAATGAACAAATTAATGAAATTTGGGAAAATAAAAATGAAAAGTATTAGTTAATTTGAAGGTTAAACGACCTACTCAAATTTATTAAAGAAAAAAAAGATAAACATGTCATTACAATAGAGAAAACACTTAGAGCACAGAATAGGGAAACATGTCCTGTAAGAAAAGGTAGAATATTAGTGGCCTATTTATTGCAAAGGCTAAAAATATTATGGAATGCAGTTTTCTTACACCCTTTCCCCAGACCTTCAATATATCATGACAATAGATAGCCCTATCATTTCTTTCTTCAATATGTCTTTTGGCTTCATTTTAAGGTCTTCCCTTTAAACGCCATTACCGAAGTCAAACCCTTCTCATCTCAAAGCTGAATTACTGAAAAAGTCACCAAAACTGGTATCCATGTCCACGTCTTTAAATACACTCTGAACATTACTGCCATTGTAACACCAATCCGTCTCTTTGGTGTCCATAAAAAAGGGGAAGGAATTTGGTTCTGGAATAAAAAGTCCTTCTAGCTCTAAAGGTAGGAAACATGCAAATATCAAATTTAAAATCCTGTGCTTTACAATTGGGTTACCATCTGTGTTGGGAGTCCCCAAGACTAGCCTCAGGTTCAGTGATTTGCTAGGAAGACTCACAAGACAGAGCACACAATCATATTCATAACTATAACTTATTACAGTGAAAGAATATAAAGCAAAATCAGCAGAGGGAAAAAAGCACATGGGGCAAAGTCCAGAGGAAACCAGGTCTAAGATTCCAAGAGGTCATTCCAATGGAGTCACACAGGACACATGTAATTCCTCCAGCAACAAGCTGTGAACATGTGAATTGTTATCTACTAGGGAAGCTTATTAGAAACTCAGCATCCAAGGTCTTTATTGGCAGATGGTCATATCGGCAGCCTCTGACTAGCATGCACAAAATTCCAGACCCCCAAAGGGAAAGTAGGTGTTCAGCATAAACTATATTGTTTGCACAGTTTGGGCACAGTGAGCCACTCACATCAAAAGAACGGTGGGAACACTCCCCAAATCCAAGTTCCCAGACACTAGCCAAAGGCCAACACTTCAAGCAAGCTTTTCTAAGGATAATAGTCTCAGGCCACATTAATTTTTTTCTGCACACTACCTACAGTCCCACAGTCACTGTACCGTTTACGCTCTTCAACCTTACCCAGAATTCCATCACTTTTCTTTCCATCTATCCAAATCCAATCCTTCAAGACCTCTTCTCTCCCATAATGCTTTGCCAAATTCTCCAACACATAATTCTCTCCCCTTTCTCTGAACTACTATTTCACCTTATTTTGTACCATTAAGGAATTGTTCATTCTAAAGCACAAGTTCCCTGTGTGTGAGAAATACAGTTAAGTTCTCTTACATTATAGTGCCTAATCATTGTTAAACAAGATACAGTCTCTCAAAAACTAATGACTGAATATATAACAAAATCTGCTTCAACTGATATGAGAATGTTCCCTAGTGCCAGGGCAGGGGTTGGTGGACTGCAGAATCCAATCAGATATACTTGAGAGTGCAAGCTTTAATTCTCTGCTGTGAACCTACATAGAGTCCAAGCTATTCTCTACATTACTCTTCAGGTGTAGTTCTAGATGTAGGCAAATACTGAAAGCATAATGTTTTTTAAAAACTCCACTGATCTCGGGCCGGCCCGGTGGCGCACTGGATAGTGCACCGCTTGGGAAGCGCGGCGGCGCTCCCGCCCGAGGGTTCGGATCCCAC